AAAAAAAAAAAAAAAAAAAAATTCAATAAAAGCAAGTTATAAGCAATTTTTTGTTGGCAACAAATTTTTTTTTTTCTCATTAGTTTTAAAAATGTTTATATCACTCTTAAATATGCTGAAAATTTTAAGTGAATTAAATGTGACCTCAATGGCGACACCTTTATCAAGCAAAATTGAAATGGTCCCTGCTGGTGCAACATAAATGATTGGAAGTTTGCCTTTTCTTTGATTTGAAATTCCATTATTAGTAATATGTGATACTATAGCACTATTAGTTGCATGAGGTACGTCTAAAATGAAATTTGCATAATTTATTTTTCATAAAAAGGTGACAAACAATTATTTATATGGTATAGTTATTATAATTTATCATTATTTATTTCAATGATAATCGATCAAAAGAACGACTAACTTTCGTTATTAATAGCATGTTCTGTTAAACTTTGAGAATTGGATTCAGAACAAGCCGTATGATTTCCTGAACGTGTTATTACGTTACCACGCCACGTACGGTTAGTACGTAATGCTCCATTATGAAATGTTCGTGTTACTTGTGATTTATGACTGAAATAAAAACCTATCTTATTACCTGTTTGCTATGAAGATAAGCAAATATCGATTAGATCATTATGTCTAATTAAAATTTCGTTTTTGTAAATTACCGTAAAAAAAAAAGAAATTGTGGTTGTATGAAGAATGATCTTTAGGTTTCTTTCATGATACCTCGATGTATTTGCAGATGAATTGACATTTTCCGGAGATTCGATGGTAGCTGCAAACTGATTTACATTTCCAGTTGCTCCGGTAATATCGTTAATTTGATGAGTATGATCATTTGTTGTACTGGGAATCAATCGTCGTGAACTGGTACAATGGGTCGAATGAGGGCGCCAATAATCCCGAGATGTGTAGGTGATTGAACGCAATCTGTTGTGATACTTATGTATATTTATGTGATATAACTTAACATCTCGAGAATTCTCGAGAATTGAAGAAGGAATCCTTGAAGAAGCTTCAAACGATAATTTTGTTTCTTCGTTTTTTCCTTCCCATATTTCATCCCATTTTTTTATTTTTTTTTTGGTGGAAAAAGTGATAAGTGGATGAAGTTTTACCCGCAGTGAATGATATCACGTCGTCCGTGACCTACGTAAAAGACGCCACTTCGACGACGGCTTTCATCCAATGAACGTGTTGTTTGCATCGGAAAAATAGCAAATATTTTTCAGAAATTTTTTTTTAATCACTAAAAAACAAAATTATCATGATATGATTAAGATGGAAATGAAATTTTCTCACGGTTTCACATTCTCATCTTACAATTTTGAAATTAAACTAACATTACGTGAATGAAAAACACGTACTCTCTTTTGTAATACAATAAGTAAACGTTAAAAACGTGTTGTGAAAAGAGGAAAGGAAATAAAACAAATTTTGTTTTTTGTGTTTCTAATTAACCGATAGTTAGCATAGAGTAATTCAAGTGCTAAATTTAAATTTAGAATTAATGCTTATAATTAATTTTTGATAAAGGAAATTGGTAAAATTTAAATTATTTAGTTTAAAAAAACAGAAAAAAAGAGAATTTCAACTTTTTTGGTTTCAGTTAATTTCGCATCCATTTTTAATCCTTTTGATGGCTTTTGATTGTTAACATTATCATTGCTAATTTGTGTGACAGTTGATTCAGTGACACATTTCGTCGGGTCATCGCTATTACGAATATCACCCATTGCTTGTTTCTTCGATTCTTTGCATAATTTTTCCTTTCGAGGCTAAAATTTAGTTCACAAAGACAGAATGAGTTATACTATGCTAAATTTAAATATTGAATAATTATAAGAATTTACTTATTATATTCTACAAATTATGTAATTCAATGCAAAAATTACATTCCGGAATATCCGGTAAATCAAGAAATTTGAAGATTTTCACCAATAAATATCTAATAAGCGGTGAAAATTAATATTTTGTTCATGTTGTTTCTGTATTAATTATTCAATTAAGGAAGCTTATTCGGAATTAATTTTTCTTTAATTCCTTAATTAATTGTTATAATAAAAGAATCAGAAATGTAACATAATTAAATGGATATATCGTCAATTGATGATAGTAATAACGATAAATAATTAATTTTATTCTAATTTAATAAACTTTATCAATGAATCATAATTTTAAATGCATACTGAAATCAAATCTTTTTCCTTATCAGTAACTTCGCCATTTGGTGATAAAGTATCAGATGAGGATCGTGTACTATCAGATACCATAAGATATGATGATGAAGAATCATGCTGCTCAGTATTATTATTCGCTGTTGCTGTAGCCGTTGTTACGGTTGCATCATCCGACATTTCCGACATTTCCGATATTCTCTTATACGTCCGGAATGTCTATTTTTTCTGATATCTGTAAAATATATATCCAAAAAAAAAAAAAAAAGAAAGCAAAGTAATAATGAATAACATGAATTTTGTTAATAATCAATAAAATTTTTTTAAAAAAAAGATACCTTTTTCTGAATGAAGTTTGTGAGTACAATGGTGATGCAGAAAAGTATTTTTAGCTCAGTTTTCTAAGTCAATAAAAGCGGAAAAGTTTATTTTGAAGCAACCTAAAACAGATATAAATTGTTTGATAAAGTGATTTTTAATTTATCTCTTCTAATGAAACCAATAAATCGTTAATTAATTAATGAGCCAAGTCAAAATTTTTTGTTTAATATCCTTTTTATGTCAATTTACAAAGCCAAATAATTGCGCGACTATTTCTTTTCCCTTTTTTTTTTTTTTTTTACTTAAATAAATCGATGTATTG